CACATTTTTATAGTACTTTAGCACTCATCAATTAGTTTTTTCAAAAAATAAATAGTTTAAGCAAAAAACGTTTGGTTCCATACTTTTTATTCACCTGGTATATATTATGGTGATCTGTGTTCCCTGTAGTAAGACATACGTAACCTTCCCGACTAATCAATTGGGAACTATTTAAAACCATAAAATTAGTTCTCAAGTTTGTAAAAGCTAAGAATCATTTTTTTTTGTAAAACGCTGACGATTGAACATTATATTTTACAATATTTCAATATTTCCAATTGAAATATTTCAAACCCCATGATCTGCTAACACGCACAAAATTTAGCACAAAGTGAAAACCCTTTTTATTTTTTATCTAATGATAAAAGGATGTTTGGCCTACGACATTTTTTGGGCGAATACATTCAAAAATATGCAAAACACTGGTATTTTTATTACTCCTGAATTACTCGGAATTTTCTCTACGCTATTCGACTTTCTGGAATATTTTGTTCAATTACAGTTTAAAACATTTGAAAAATCTATCTAGGAAGTTTGTTGTGTCCTAAAAATTCAAGTTCCAAACTTGTTCGACGAGCATTTTATGCTTTTCGAGTCTCGTTTCAATGTTAGAAATAAAGTAACTCTGTTTCATTTGAACCATTTTTAATTACTTACTTTCCATCTCACGTTTAATTCCACTGATGGCTCGCTCATAGGCAAATTCCATTCGGGCCCACGAATAAAGTGTTTCGCCGCCCAAACTCTAGCTTATCCCGCAAATGGATAAATAATCGTCTCCTCTTTCGTCTCCCTTTCGCCGGAAAATAAACACGCAAACTTCCAAGATTCGCGTTATTTTACGACTGCTGTATATCAGCATTAGTTCTTGTACAGTTATCTGTTTTATTCCACCGATAAATCTCAACCAAAATTCAAACACAAGACTCACCGAACGAGAAAACTTTATTTAGAACAAGAAACTAAGTAACGCACGCACTTTCACTGATATCTTTAAGTTTATCATCGACGACGAGGGTGTTAGGGTTGAGCTTGACCTCGAAGAGGTTCTTGTGGATCCACTCGATGCAGAAGAGTTCGCTTTGGGTGATATGTTCATACATTTGGGTGGCTTGGTTGCGAGTTGTGCCCGGTTTGCCAGAAACGGGCACGTTGGTGGCCTTCTCGAAGGCTCCGATGAACTCCAAGGGCTCGACACTGACCGACACATGGTGTTTTGCACACGACTCGGTCTGGGTTTTGGCATTTCGGTACTTGATGTTCTCACTTTGAGATCCACTGTTTCGCTTGCAGAGGGATTGGCGGACTCTTGATAACACAGTACTTCGCGGAATACTTGACAACTTCTCTTCAGTCGCTTGAATTGGTTCGTCTACATATCTTCTAACCGGCTTTGTGGCCACCCTTGCCGAGTGTTTCGACCCGGTGCTCAAGTTGGCCGAGGGGGAGGGCAACATTTTGGGGCTCTTAGATCTTGATTTGTCACAGAAATACAACTCGCGAGTATCTGGAGGATTCATCTGGAGTTGTCTTGACAAATCGTTGATTTCTAAAGCCATTTTCCTCGTCCCGGTGACAGGGTTTACATAATTTACAAGAGCCTTATCGATGTCCTTGTTTATGAGGATTTCGCAGTCTTCGTTGAGTTCGGAGATAGTTTTAGAGAGGCGTTTCGTATCCATTTGTTTTCGTTCATTTCATTTTTATAAGCACTGGAATTTTTCAAAGGCGTGTCAAAAAAATGTCAAATCTGGTATTGCATTTTGACGTGTTCGTTTGCTTTATTTATGGGATAGCACGCGACTGGGATTTGGACAAAATTTGATCAATTACAGGAACTACAGCTTAGCATGTCTCATATATCATGGGAAATTTATGCGCATAACAATTTTCAGTTAGCAGCTTGGGCCCGCTTTTTTGCTGACTTTTTTAATTAAGTGAATGTAGTGGCGGATGGTGCGTTGGATTAGGAGATCCAATGCTATAAATACGCAATGAAATAAGAAAGGAAAACGTCATTGTTTCTTTAATTATTCTCTTTAATATCTTCTCATACTTTATGAAAATTGCACATGTTCGTTACACTCTTTTCTAAGTGGAGTTGAACATCACGTCTCTGGAAAAGGCATTTACGCTCAAATTTTTGTGAAAAATCGCAATTAAATCGGATGAAAATATCACCCTCAGTGGCAATTGCGGTCTAAAGCAATGTTAACCTATTCATTTTGTGAATAGAAGCGAAAATGCTTTTTATTCGATGTGCGATAAAAGCGAAGAACGTGATGTGTAGGGAAGATCAAGGCAAACAAATCGAATATGTAAATGAAATTGAATTATGCCGAATTTATGCAGAGATTTCCAAGTGTTTGCTTAAAGTTTTGTGATACATATTCCATTCTGAAAGGGTCTTTGTCAATGCATTATGAATAATAAATTCAAATTGTTGAAAAGTGCATTTAGTTAATTTTGAGTCGAAAGTGTAGCAACTTTGATGTTTCTTTGTGATTTCTAACCTTTTAAAAATTTCATAACATATACTATCAGGTATCGGGCTTAAATGTCATGTAAAACTTGCGAAATTGCGAGTTATTTGTACTTATTTTTAAAAGAATTCATCTAAATAAATGCGACTTTTCAACGATGACATAAATTTAATCGTCGCAAGGTCGCTCCTGGCTAAAGTATAAAAATCATTTTAAAAACGTGGCACAGGAAGTGGGTTTTAAACGCGGCCACAACGACAAAAAGCTAATTATGCTAAAGCTGTTGACAGTTTATATCACATTTTTGAAGGAAATTTATCATTTTGAGGGCACGGAAAATAATCCTCCGCCTTGTTCTTATTTTAGTAAACTTTCGCTTAAAAAATGACTTTTATTTTTAGCGGTGGATGAGAGTAATTATTTGGAGAGTAGATGAAGTCGTGAACGAGTTGTAAATTTTTTAAAAACGCTTTGTTTGACAGATGTGGATTTTTCGGGTTTTCAAATCGTCATTTTTATGGGTTAAGAGTTTGTTTGCATCTTTTTGTTGAAAAAATACTTTTTTTTGCATTCCTACTTTTTTGATATTATAATCTTGATAATTTAATAATTATGTAGATGCAGGGGCACAGCAGAACAATTTCAGGCAAAATTATGTTGTAATTATAATGAAACTAAAATTATATTTTAGAAACAACCAAATTAATCATTCGAATTTTGTATATAATTATTTTCGATGTTGTCATAACTTTAAATTTTTACTTGTCTTATTTTATAATTGTAAAACTGTATTTCAAACGTTATAATGTTAATGTATACATGAAGAAATCGGTTGGGGTCGAGAAAGCTGCAAAATTCTTGATCGTTTAGAAGTTATAATTGAGAATATTTTGGATATTTTGACTATCATCGATTTCCTCGATAATTATTTAACGTAGGGCAATTTTTTTTTATGATAAAATTTTAAATTTGATTTCCAACGCCACCAAACAAAAAGGACTAGCGTCAATAATTCTGAAGTTATTAGCAATAAACCGCTTCGGGTGCCCAAAATTTCGACAAAAATCGAAAAAATTAGAAACTTTAAAATTAAATCATTTGCACTTTTAGAGGTTCAAGAGATTTAGAAAAGTACAAAAACGTTGCAAAAATTAATAATTTTTTAAAAAATGTTGTGTAAGTCTGTATGAATATATTAAATTAAAACATAGAGACTGTGGGCGCCGTGGTGGTGAAGCGTCATAAGGTCTTGCTTTACGGGAAGTAGATTGGGGGTCCGAACCCCACTCAAGTCAGAAATTTATCACTAATTTCAATTCAAATACTAATTCAAATTAGCAATAAAAGATACACATGTTCTAATAAGTATAATAAGAGAGAGATACCGCGCATAAGAGCAAATAAGAACGCAAAGCAAAGAAGAAAAGAAAGAGAAAGATCGAGAAATTTTTGTAGATCGACATATTTCATTTTATTTGTACTGACGTTTAAATGAATGCTCTTTTTTACATAGGTAAACCCTTCCCTCCCCCTAAACTCTATCTCTGGCTGCGCCACTGTGTAGATGTACACTAATTGCCTCAGGGAGTCAAAAAGTAAAACAACTATTTTCAGTTATTTTGAGACAGGTTTAAAATTACCTGAATTTCTAAGACAATTCTTTACTTTTCCGCCAATTACCTTAAGCCTTTATTTACATAAAAGAAATGAACCAGTTTTTATTCTGTTTGGTATTTCGTTTTGTTGTATCTTCCATTCCTTTCCTGTCTCGTTATTTTCGGCTTCCTCAACCCGAGAAACCCCCAAAATAAGAAAAATTCCTTTCATTAAATTAATCCGTCCGACATGACATGTTTGTAAATAAAGTCATGTAAACCAGACCCAGACTGCTTTTAACTGTTGTGAAACTATTAAAACCGAATCACTCCAATCCCGACATCATCCAAATTCACTTTAATAATTTACATGAACATAAAGTGGAATAACGGTGTCGTAAAATTTTATTCCTTGAAATTTAGGGCTTCGCGTATCTCTTTCCGATTGACTTTCAATTGTCCAAAAGCTATTTTTATCGTATCGTTTTACTTCGCCCAACCGGACATTGGATGGAATTACAACCGGTGCATCAAATCTCCAAACTTGAACAAACTTACCATCCGAAACGCGAGAACCCTTTCGCTCCACCGGACATTTGCAATATTTCGTTTCGAGATAAAACGGCAATTATCTCGAGGTGAAACTTAATTAAAAACTTTTAAAGCGCCGACGCCCCTATCGCAGGGCTTTCAATCAGGTTAGCTATTGACATTGCTGATTGCGACGCGAGCGAGGCGGACAAACAATTTTCTTTCATATTTGCGCAGAAATCGAGAAACATTGAGACCAGCAGCGACGACTTTATGTAATGGATAACAAAAAAATGTAAACTCTTTAGCACTGGGATTATATTTGATTAAATTTTTTGCTATAGTTTCTTTTCTGCCGACTGCGCCAATTAGCGTTTATTTCTTGTTCCAGGTCGGAGTGACAATGAGGGTGAAGTGAGAGGGCGAAGTCGCAACACTCGGCGAGACGACCCCCGCAGACATACCCTTGGCGCTGACCAGCAATACTTGGGTATGGCGGGTCAGGGAGGTCCTCTCTCTCGCACCATGGACCTCGAGGTAAGCTTTCCCATCCGATGCATGTTGTGCACAACAGGAAAACGCTATATTCTAAAACGGAATGACATCACCACATCAATTAAGCGCCTAGTCGTTCCCGGTCGTTTAATTGACTTAGTCGCTCGAGCGTATTTACGAGAAACGTCGTGTAAGAAGTAATGTCGAGTCAGAGCATTGTATCCTTGCCGCCCCAATTGGAGATGACGCCGCGATCGATACCCCTTCTAAAGAAACATGATCGAGTTACAAATAGTGCTCTCCATAAACTAGCGGAAACTTCCTTTCCCGTTTCTCCTGATAGTCCTGTTAATGTGAGAATTTTTTTACACGCGGCTAAACAGATGAGTTCCACAAGACCGAGAAAGGTAAAAATAGAGAAAATCCGAGTCGTAAATAAATTTTGGACGCAGGTGGCTTAACGTGAGTGTTTCTAGGGACAACCTCGAGGGTATCCACCGCCTTCCAACGCCATGTTGTTTGATGATGACCCGGGAATCATGTCGGAAGTTGAGACCAGCTCTACGGGCTTCCGCAGAGGTGGCAAGCAGAGGAGTTCGCTTCCGGTTGTGAGAACTCCAAGCAAGACATTAGAGAGGCCATTAGGTGAGGATTTTCATACAGTCCACCTGTTTTGAAACGACTTGAAAATTTTGCAGGTTTAGTATTTCTTCAATATCGCAACGAAACTAAAAGAGCTCTTCTTCCGAACGAAATCACTTCTATTGACACCGTCAAAGCACTTTTCGTCCGTTCATTCCCTAAACAACTCACAATGGAGTATCTTGACTCCCCCAATGTGAAAATCTACATTCACGACTCTTCCAAGGACATGTTTTACGAGTTGGAAGATTTGAGGTATATAAAAAAACGGTTTTGGACTACTTTTAAGTTGTTATAACCGTTTGTTTAGGTCGCATTTGAGGGAAATTAGGGATCGCTCAGTCCTGCGCTTGTTCGAGTCAGCAGACGTCTCAGGGGGACTCCCTGTGGCCGGGATAGGTATCGCCGGCGGTGTTGGTCATTTCGAAGACCCGAGCTACTTCTCAGAGCCCGAATTTGACTCAGAGTACCAACACCAACACATCCACAAAAGTAAGGTGAGTCAAAATGAGCAAGTCTTGAAAATCTATACTTTATTGCGGTTAAATCTACAAAAATATAAATACTAGTTCTAACGATCAATGACGGTGTTAAAAACTTAACAAAACAAGTCCCCTCAGACATGACTCGACTTGTATCAACAAGCAATGGCGGTGAAGGTGATCTAATTATTTACAAAACAGTCGAACTTAGAACGCTTTACATTGTGGCACCGCCGGTGAATAGAAGGCCCCCGAGTAGAGTTTCTTGGGAACGGTTCTCCAGCCAAACACAAGGGCTTTTTCGAAGGGCTCCTCGTCACATCCGTTGCAGACATTCATGACGGCTTTGACTTCAGCTTCGGCAGGTTCTCTCTCGTCGTTTTGCTTTTGTTCCTCCAAAATGGGGCTGTTTTCCCCAATTCCGGCCAAGCCATCCAAAAACTCGTGATCAAAATTAGACGGAACGTGGAAACCCTCCTCGATTATAGTACCCCCACCTAAATACAACTCGCGCTTCTTGTGTTTGTTCTCTTTGTCATCACTTTCGGCCTTTTTCTCAAGTTTATCACCAAATTTTGGTTCTTTTTGCTCCCTCTTGAACAACTGGTGGGTGTCAATAGGGGTGTCTATAAATTGGACATTTGCGGGGTTAACCAACGAGGGGTGTACTAGGCCACTACTTAGAAGTGGAGTACCGGCAAATTGGGGCTGCTGTTGTGACAACTGTTGTGAAACTAAATTATTCACAAATTGGCCATTGACCAACTGGGCACTAAATTGCTGTCCGGGGACGATTTGGGGCTGTTGTTGTCCCCCGGCAAGATTCAACATGAGCATATGGTTGATTTGGCCACCGGTGAGAAGGGGGTGGCTTGGAACGTTGCTACGGGGGCGGGGGGTGACCGGCGCTGGGGTTGTGATTTGGTTACCATTGTGGTCGTACTGGTGGGCATGGTGGTGCTTGTGATCGCGGTGGGCTTTACCCGCCGTCAAAGCTACTTTATAAAGTTGTACCATCGTGATTTGGCCCAACATGCCCCCAGAGCCTTTGGGGGCATCTTTGCCTTCTTGGAAGCCACCCCCGAGTTGGGTTTGCTGTTGGCCGGTTATGGCCAGCCCTCCGGAGGGGATGACATGACCGACTAACTAAAATTGGAGATTAGGGCTTTGCTCATGTTGCGCTTCGCTTGGAAACCTACCCTATTGTGGAATCCACGGCCTACTCGTTCCGCGTTGACCCAGATTTGCCATTCACCGGTTTTACCGTTCCAACTCTGGCACGTGTGGTACCATTTGTTGATCCTGAGAGGGTAGTTGAGGCGGTAGAAGGTGTGTCCTTCGACGGCCAAGCTGAAGTAGCTCGATCTGTCCGTGTTGGAAATCCACGACGAGATCGCCTTAGGTTGGCCATCAACTGTTATTAAAAAAATGGGAAAAAAATTAGTAAGAAAGTTGGTGGGCAGGAAAGTGAAATTTATAATTGCGACTTTTGATTGTTTCGTAACTTGCCTGCGTACGAAAAAATAGGATGGTCGTTGCTGTGGTTGGCGAATTTCGTCCAGAAACACAATGTGAATTCTTTCATCTCAGGGATGTGGGTTTTGTATTGGATGTATTGGAAATAGAGGTCTTGCAGAAAGCCGACTTTATAGAGTTCGCATTGATTACTAGAACCGTGCAAAGACGAGGAGTCTGATGATTGGTGGAAAGTGTGAGTCGAATAACCCGTGGGATGTGATGTATGAATGGTTTTGATTCCATCGTAAAGGTCCGAATGAAGGACGGGATGCCAGTTGTCGACGTGAACGGCCTCAGACGTGAAAACCAATACCAGCAGCAAATAAATTGATTTCGGCATTTTCGAGATCTGATGTGTTCTTTGACGGGGCGTTAGTTGAAAATAAAGGACATCCTGGAATTCGTATTATTTTTTATTGTTTTAAAATTGGCACCGTTCAATCCAAGTATGTAGTTTGCTTTCGTTTTTTGTTTCAATTTTCTAAATTAACTTTTGTGAAACATTACTTGTTTACGCATTGGCATTTCTGACACGTGATGAACGAATCGTGGAAAGACCGTTTTGAAGCAATTTCACTTTCATTATGACGGTGAGAGTACGAGAGTCCCTATAATAATAGCAATTGATTGAAACTTAGTCCGGTCATGTAAATCCGTCGTTAATGCAAGTTCAGACAAACTTACAATTAAACCAACTAGTGCATGACGCTTTGAATTTGTTTATTTTTCACATCATTGTCTGTAAAAACTCTTGATTCTAAATTCCGAACGTGTTATTGCTTCCGTGAATAACAGACGGAAGATAATTAAAATCCGGGAACTTTTTATTTCAATGGAAATATCGATTTATGGCGTATTAAAAGAGATATCTGGCAATAATCGCATGTATCAATAAAATGCGCTGAACCTGTAATAGAAATTTCTTCTGTTGCGAATATTTCAGCCGTGATATAATATGTCGATCCAATCCCACTTTAGATAAAGTCGGTGAATGCTTTCCTTTAAATAAAATCAATCAAAATAAAAGACTTTCATTTTTCGCGTTTGTTGTTTGTTGCAGCTGGCGGCGTCATAAATGCCACACGTTGTATTAAAAATACAATTTGCAAATTATGTCCAGTAGGTCCACGAAAGTAAAAGTGGATTTGCAGCCTAACTCATGGCTATTTTCCCTCGAAATATCCGATAATTACGGCGAGTCTAGTTCGACCGCGAAGTGAAAATCTAAAACACCTTCGCTAAAGTTTTAATCTTAAATGAAAATTTCCATCGCTCTGCGCAATGTAAACATTATAACGTGAGAGGAAACGCTTCGGATGCAAGAAAGTGGAGCCGCTTTTGGAAATCACCTTAATTGCGTAAGAACGAAGGTTGTTTTGACGGATTTCATTGTCAAGGTGTACTCATTTGTTGTTTTAACGCCTCGTAATTGTCACTTTCTCTTCAATTTCTGGTGGCAAAAGAATTGTTTGTCATCGGGATGTTAAGAAAGAGTAATTATTATAACAATCAGCAGCCTTGGAATTGAAAAAACGCATGATCCCGCATTTGCATCAAAGAATCAATAACAAGAATGCACTTGAGACGGCAATTATGCAATTCAAGTGCACCATTATGTTGCAGAAGCATTCTCTTATCGACATTGTTCTTTCATGAACTAATCTATTCATCCTCACTCATTATTATCTTTACGAAATCAGTCGCTTTTATTTTATATAAAACTTGAAATAGAGCTCTTACAAAATTACAAATTGTGTAAAAATGTATTGTGAGCTTGAGAGAAAAAAAATCCTAACAAGAAAACTTCAAGGCAGGTTTTATCCTTCTTGGTGGGGAGTTTTTTTCCCTTTTACACAATAACATTCTTAAATACTTTCTATTATTAAGTTAAAGAAAAAATATTTTATGCAACGTGTAGCAGTGGGTAAACTGGCTTTTAAACGGTTTAGGTAATTTATCATGACGAGGTGAAGAGGCGGAAGGAAAGGAAATGAAGAGAAAAGAAGCTCGAATCCAAAATCAAGGTCGAGGGAAATTTACATTGAAAATAATAGCAGTGCAGTTAGTCGTTAATAGCGACGGTTATTCAGAAAAATTAATAAAAATTGTACATTACAAACGAGGTGGTAAATATGGCATTACCCCGAGTGCTCATGTATCGAGAGGCGCCAGCCTCGAGATCGGATAAAGCACAAGGGGTAATACCATTACCACCAAGGTTTGTATGCTATTTTATTTACAATCACATAATTTTTAGTCAAAAATTTGAACAAAATAAAATTCTAACAAAGTTAAGGTCCAAATGTGGTAGGCCATCCAAATTACGTTTGATTTTTGACATTTCAGATATATCAAAGAAAATATTGAAATAATGTGTCAATCTGATGAAATGGAGCAGTGTACTCCCCCAGAAGTAAGGAAAACTGCTACAGAAGCAATTGAATACTAATTTAGTGAAATATTATGCGTAACTTGATAACTTGAAAGAAAAAATTTACGGTATTCTCGTAATCTTAACATTGGCACACCTGCATATTATCGCCCAAGAGGTAAAATGATATTACTGCTCATGAGATTTAATGATGTATTTCTCAACCTTTAAGTAATCGGCATATTACATTAATGATTGTGAATAAAATAAATTCACTACATTATTGCAATTAACTCTCATTTACATATCAAAGGAGTAATGGATCCTGTATTTGATATAAAGGTAAGATGACAATTTTGGTGTGAAATAAACATTGAGGCCAAAGTAACTATTTACTTGGAATAATTTTACACTGAGGCTAATAAAATGTTATTTTTTGTTAGTTTTTCTCAAAAATTAACAAAACCAAGGCAAAAAGGACCATTGCCATAAACTAAATTTGTAGGTACACTTAAAAGTTGTAATAATTTTACACCAAAACTCAGTAAAATACAAAATATGCAATAGATTTTGCGTAATTTTATAAAATAATCGGTATTGTATGTATGTATAAACTTACATTGTTTAAGTAGATCAAGTTACAAATTAGAGTTTTATCAATTTTATTCCTACATTTCGAAGATGAAAATCAATAATTCGACATTTAGTTAAAACTGCATTAAAGGTTTGATAGTGCAAATCGTATTTTTACATTTTTCGAAATGTTACATGTTGTGGGTTACATAATAGGGCGTACGGCAATGATGTAATTTTACCCTTTTAAACGGCTATGAAAGATGTCTAAAATAAAAAATGTAATGTGTCATTATTGTTAATGAACGGAAATTGAAAACATTAGATTCATTTTAGTATTAGAACTTCTTTTTTCAGATGTTTATTTCGTCGATGTTTCATATTGTCGACTTATTTAAATTTTCTTAGCGTTTCAGATGAAACATAGTGATATCGGCTGAAAGTACTCACTTTAAAGTGTAAATTTTATATTGTCTGCAATTTGTCTAGACACTTTGAATTGTGAAATCGATGTGACATTTAAGATTTGACTGATAAAAAAAGTTCGAGGGTCAGGTCATGAATTAATTCGGTGGTCACGTCACGAGATTTATTTCAAGCTCTATCTAAAATCAGATAACATAAACAGATTTAATTCAGTATCAAAAGGAAAGTTAAGACTTGCCGTGAGAAAATATTAATCAACAAGATTTTGTTCCGATTAATTATTCCTTCAGTGTCGGTTTTAGCATTACATTTCCTTGATTACTTTTTATTTCCGCAAAAGATGTTAACAATTAGACTAAGAAAGCGGCGATATTTCGATGATACATATCTCAGAGCGAATTCTCTCAATTGTAAAAATTCCAGTTTGGAAAAAAAATCACAAACTTATAATCCGGTACTCACATCCGACTACACCACTTCGATCACTAAAGCACAACCAGAGCACACCGTTAGAGTACGACTGACCGCACTGAAGAAGTATTCTTCGAGAACTAGAGTACTATATGGAGATAGTCTCCGGTTTCACTCCAGTCGCGTGTCTTGCCAATTCTGTACACTTGGAGTGTCCGGAGGTAGAGGGGCATTTACTTTCCCTTGATCTCCGGTGATGCTGATGGATTCTTGAGGGGGCCCTTATTGCGCAACACTTTTTTTCTCGTCCGACAGTTTGAGATAAATAGGCGTTATCGATGAACGCGGCCCTTTGACCCTTCCAAATTGATAGACTTGACAGTTTCGTTAAAACAGAGGACTGATTGGGACACAGATTCAATTTAATTGGGACTCTGGAATGAATCTGTGATTAGGTTTCGTTCAGAGGTGTTGAAGCCTAGAAATATCTCTTCGGAGAGTAGTCAGAGGAAGTATTGATCGAGTACTAGGTAAACAAGTTATCATTGACGGGGGGCAATTAGTATTGGAACTGATTACGGGGTTGTCCGGCTCGAGATTTAGACGATAAGGTAAGCTTGAAATAATTGGGGTTGCACAAAATGGAAGGAAAGTAATGACTGGAAATATTTCCAGTCGTACAAAAGTGGAGAATTTCTTGCAATTTGTTCGAAAAATTCTATTTATACCACCGAAAAAGTTTCTTAAGGCAAAAATTCAAACTCGACTTCATCAAACTGGTAATAATGTAGGCGTCAAATTATTAATTAACTAAAATTTAAATTTTAAGCAGTTTTTTAATAAATACCAAAAAGCGATATGAGAATAGAATTAGGATTTAAGTCACACATCTATTAAACAGAAAACAATTAATTAATAACATAATTAAAACGGGACAATCGTTGTTTCCTTTTCCAGCTTGTCAATATGTTATTTACGGAAAAAAATAGTTGTGTCATTGTTACAAGTTAACAGACTTGTAAAACTAAAAGTAATGTCGAAGAAAGTAAGGGTTTTTCATTTCCAGAACTTTTCCGGAAGTTTTTGCTCTATAAACATGTGGACAAACATTTCATTTCATTTTGAAATAATTTATTGTTTCATTTTTTAACAACAAAACTCGATGTTACAACTCTATATAATTAAGTTCTTTCCTCATTTCAACAATTTGCAGACAATTAAAGAAATAATACCTCATTCAGTAATAATAGTGGTCGTTACATAATTTTTTATATTTAAAGGACGAAAACATATAAAACAAACAGGAACTCACAGAGACGTTTTTGACGACGCTTGTAACAAATCGTCTTGTTTTTTAAGAATTTATTGTGCCAACATGGCGAAAAAATAAGTTCTTGACACATGATGTATGACATTTAAATTTACCCTAATGATAATTGATAAGGTAATTGACTGGAAAATACATATGTATATGTGTATCAAACAATCACCAAAAAGGCGTAATTAAAGTAGGATGTGTCGTTTGTACCTATAGGTAAACAACAATATATGTAATTAAAAAATTAAAGGTTTTTATAGAAAGTTAATTAATACATAATTAAGTAGCGTTTGAAATAAATCACACTCTAATAATATCGAAAAAAATTGATTGGAACTTTTATATTTGTTGACTTCTGTTTTCTATTGCTTGGTGAAGACGAAATTTATTAGACTACGTGATCGTCTATTAATTTCTCTTTAAAAACTTCTACATATTTAAACGTGTCATAGTAAAATTTACCATTTATCTTAAAAAATTTGTTTCTTCAGATCGCGAAAAATAACATTTTTTTTGCTGCCTAATAAAATTAATTAAATAGCGGTTTTATTAACAATCCTAACATTATTTTAACATTTTCATCAGCGATTTATGTAGTTAATTAAACAGTTAGTATCTAGATAAGAATTTTTTTTATTTTGACACTGAATCTGGGAGAACTCAAGCTTTAGTTAAAAAAAGACAATGATAGCAATTTTTGCAGTTGTAATGCCAATGATATAAGAGATAATTATAATATTTGCTTGAGTTAATCAGCGACATTTACATTATCTAAATTATTCTACAGTTATTCCATACATTCACTTAATGACTCAAACTAAAATCACATTTTATAAAATTTTAAAACTCCATAATCCCAATTTATTCAAGCGTGGCACACTATCTGAATTTCTGATTCAATCAACGAAATGACTTCTATTTTTCGTAGCTTCATCACGAATCAAATTTTCTATCCGGTGACAAATCACTATTTCATGAACCGGAATAAGTAATAGAGTCATGATAGACAACATCTGCTATCATCATTATCCTAATTGCTCTTTACTTTCGAATTTTCCTCCTAATCCGCACAAACTGTATCACTTTTTGCTTATCTCTTACGTAAGCCCTCTCGAAATGTCACCCGGCGATTATGTTATATTTCGGCGGTCTAGCGCGTGCATTTTTTAATTGCGTTGCCGTAATTAATTAGAAATTGTTTCCAAACTAGATTATGGCCACCTCATTTCGCATAAAGCCCCAAGAGAAAAGTGGAAAAGTCACGTCGGATCCAGCTGTTGTGACGAAAAGTTCTCAATGCAATGTCACGGTCGACGGTCGTTCATTACATATTTTGTTTAAAATTCTTGATTCAATGATTCATAATGCATGAAAGAGCCTTTCTAGTAATTTTCATAAATTTCGCAAATTGGGTAAATTCTTAATTAAGAATGGATGCGAAGAGAAAGTGGCGATAAAGTGGTAGCTAAAAGGAAGAGATTAAAACGTTCGATACAATGTCGATAACTGTTAAAAACAAGAGGACCCTTTCACTGCGATTTAAGCGGTCTTGTTAAGTGTATTTCAAGTGACACCCAATGTGTAATAAAATGTACTCTTTTATTACATTACATCACAACTTTCTTTCATGTAACAGCATCGAAAGTACGCAATGACGCTTCACACAATCATCTTTTTATTCATATAATTTCCCCAATAACAGCCGAATTTTTGCAAAATTAATAAACATGATCGGACTTAATTAAGTGAAATTTCCGCTTCCTAACTTGTCGATTTAATTGAAGTTAATACAATTTGCCACAATTCGAACAATACTCTGTAACCCCGTACTACATTCCTCACATGCTCTAATTGCAAAATTTTAATTACAAACCATTTAATAAATTACCGCAATTCCGATCAAAGGGACTCAATTGCTCGGTTGCTCAACACTCTTAATTATACAAGTTTTCTTCAAATTGAAAATTCAGTACGTGTTACTTTATAGAAAGTAAGTTTTTTGATAAATCCAATCATTCAATGTTATTGCCAAGTTGTGCATACATTTCCTGATTGTGGGCAATTAAAGTAATTGTAAGGGAATAAATTACATACAAGTTTAAATAATCGCACGCGCTTCAAGTAGCATTTTAGTGAAATTGTTATTTTAAGGATTTTTTATGGTAATTTGGGTACGCGTCGTCTTTCACTCAGTGAAATGTGTCGTTATGCATGGCTTTCGTACTTAATTAATTGTAGCCAAATTTTATGTATTCGGAGCATGATTTGATTTTTTTACTGTTTGTCTGCACTGACACGAAACTGTTTAAAATTATTTGAGTTGCGCAAGAAGAAATGCTTGCATTTATTTTAAGAAATTTTTACACTCCTTCAAGCTCATTAAAGTAGACAATATTTTAAGCATTTAAATTATTTTATTATCGGGGGCTCTCTAACAAGATTTTAAACTTTTAATTTATTATGGAAATTTAGATATGTACATTAATGTGCACTTTCTTCAAGAGAAAATGAAAAATTAACGCAAAGTGCGAATATTTCTTTTATTGCTAATTGGAATAAGTGGCCCCAATGGTCGAATGTAGCAAATTTTTCATAGTCTATTAGATATTGAATATAATAATTTAAAAAACTGGGATTATATAATCATATGATTATAAGAGTTGATATGATCTTATTTTAATGAAAATCTCACAATATTTGAATGTAATATATGTAAATACGCTTTACAGTCATTTTTAAGAACTAACAGTTAATTAATTTTGTTAATTAATTGACGAAAACTTTTGAATGCTGTTATAAAAAACCCTTCTGGCGAATGTAAAACAATATTAATTAAACCAACAATTAGATTTAGTTTAAATGTTCGGCAATTTCATTAAATTAGGAAGCAATTTATTTAATTTTCAAAATAAAACGTTTACAGAAGATTTAATTTCACACCTAATGTAAAGAATTTAGAATTTCTTATTTTTAAGCATTAGAACGGTTTGAGTGGCTGCATGTTCATGATCTGAAATTTAAATTCCAGATAAATTGATTAATTAATTGGGTTTTGGATTGAAATTTAATTAATTAGTTAAATTTGTTTTCTCATTCTACAAAGCAATACCCACTTGAACAAATAGTGGAAATTTCTCCCGGATTTTTTCTATTTCAAAATAACTATCGACTCATACGACCCAGTTTTATGACAGACTGAATTAATCTGCGAATTGACCTTAGTTTTGAAGGCTTTCCAAGTGCGAATTGATGAGTATAAACTAAAAATTTCATTACGAAACTTTTAAAATAGGACAAAAGACTTGTTGGAAGCCGGAACAGAGCTAAAACTGCATTCCACTGCATTAAAAACTTACAAAAGTAATAAATTATTTAAATTTGTTAATTGAGTAAATTTGTTGTGACACTTGGTGTTTTGACACAGTATTATAACTAATCTACTTTTAATGTCTCAATAATTCGTGAAACACGTGTCCTTACATTTTCTGTAATTTGAGATTACTTCGATTTTGAAAAAAATTACGACACCGGGTAATCACAGTTATTACTTGTCGGGTGATTGACGGTTTATCTAACGTATGACTTAATTTTTCCAAACATGGTCACCTCCATTTAGAGAAATTGCATGATCTAACTAAGCAAGTATCTTCACACATGTCCGTGTTTGAGTCAGGCGATCCACTAGGAGGCATTTTTTATTCCATTCTAGAACAAACACCAAAAATGTAACCCATTGAGGCTCTACTAATTTAATTTAATGAGAGGCTAATGGAAAATCATGAGTAAAGGGGTAGCCAGAGAGGACAAACTTTAATCAAAGCATTCCCACAACATTCCTAATGTTGTAACAAGTGAAAACAATTATTATTGCACTGCAATATTTTGCAATACCACATCTAGAAATTTTTTCACACGCTACTAAAATCGATTAATTAGTTCCCCAATTCCTGGGCATCCTGTCCAAGCAGTGGGACGACTTTCATTCATCGAGAATCAACGCGCCTTCAATTTTGAACATGACCTTTTGTTTTCGATTTAGGAGATAATAGTCTGCGCAATTGTCGCAAAAATTACAAGTGAAAGGGCTTACCAGGACCACCAACGGCCGCTATTGATGTTTACTTACGCAATTTATTGGCGGGTTATGCAATCGCAGCTTGCCGCATTCAAAGGCACGCCTTAAAATTTAAAAGTTTTTTTACTGAAAAGGGGAAAAAGTTCAGTTTGATTGGCATTCTGGACCAAATTCTGTAGAGTTCGAACTTTGAAAGAAACGGTAACAAAAGTGAGCAAAAAATGACTTCATTCATAACATTTATACTCACTTCTGAAACTTTATTTTTTCTTACGTTATAAAATTATTTCACTCTTTGACAATTAATTTATTTGTCCAATTTTGAGGAGACAAACAAACCTGTTTTTTATCAGTTTAGGTGGGTGTAATTATTTAATTATCATCTTATGTAAAAATTAGGAGTATTGATTATCTAACTGTTTCAATTTATAAAACAATAAAATGTTGTGTTTTTTCCTATTACTTAATTTGCATGAAATTTCTATTTTGAAACATTAGATAGTTTTGGCAGACAAAATTATAATCTCAAAAATTTAATGAGTTGACTGTTATAACCAACTATTATGTGCTCATTTTATTTGCCAACAATAGTCCATATTTTTCTAACCAACTAAACAATCCAGAAGTATAAAATAAAATTCTCATGATGCTTTTATTTCTTCTATAGAAGCTTTTTAACAGAGTTGATGACATAATCAATGCATTATTTAATTATTGTCTATGAATTAATACAGTTTATGAAAGCAATATTTTGCTAAGTCATTGTGCTCATTTAATTGGTGCGTTTTATCATTCCTTTAATTGTTTTTATTGGTACTAAGACAAGATGATTAACTTATTTATTATAATTAAATGCAATCACCCGTAACGTTACACAACCTTGAAGTATTTTTTGCCACAATCTATTAATGCATTGTTGGTTGTCTACATGTAGAGAAATAATTTAACAAATAAATAGAAAATTAAGTACGTTGAAATTTGAAGTCACACTTCGCAATCTCTACTGCCTCTTGTGCTGTAATTCTAAAGCTAATTTTAATCCTAACTCGGGTCTTCTGTCATTCCCTTCAACCATATCTTTAACTTGACTTGAATCCACAACGAGACCGTGATTTTCTCGTATGAAATTCTTTGTTTTTTCAATGTCTAAAAGATCGACTCCTCGACAACAGTCATCGAGGAGGATGGTCCTGTAGCCACTAGCAATAGCGTCTTTTGCTGTGGAAGCTAGGAAAAAATTATTCTGTGAAATTTAAATTTGACGAAAGTTTACCAACACAGACGTCGTAAGCCAAACCACACAAATACAAATCTGTGATGTTTCTAGACTTCAACATTGAGTCTAATTTAGTGTCGGTGAGCTTCTGGTTGTCCCAGAAGAGGGAATACGAGTCCACGTCCGGGTTTGTGCCCTTGTAAATTTTGGTCGAGTTTTCTACCACCTAAAATAAATAAAATAAAAAAAATAAGGTTTAACTAGTTTTTGGACCACCTTGAGGTCTTTGTGCAGGTCCGACCCCCATGTATTTTGTACACAATGCCGTGGCCACAGTTTCTGCACCATGGGGGGTTCCCGGTCGAAGACCACTGTATCGTAGACTTTGGCATTTTCGGCCGAAATTGGGCTACTTTGGTGCAATTTTCTCAAGGAGATGTTGTCAATAAACGAAACGTGATCATTGGGGTGCCAGTCGTATGAATACACAACAGTTTCGAATTCAACCGTTTCGAGGAGGTTGTTGATTGGTTGTATGACATCTTCTCCGTGGTGTTTAGCCGGACAGTTGGTAATGTTGAGACTGCCTGTGATGAAATCGTTTTGGACGTCGATGATGAGGGCTGCAGAGACGGGTTTGACGATCTGGGGGTTGTCAGAGTTAGAAGGGAGTTAAGGAGAGTTGGGGGCGTTACTGTTTTGATCCAAAGGTTCCAACAAGTGATAAACTCGTCACGGTCGATGCTCCTGTCTTGATTTTTATCGAACACGTTGAAAATTTTCTCTAAAGTGTCGCTGTCAATTTCGTACGTTTCGCCTTTACTGTTCCGAAAAAGCGCCCGACACAGCGCCCAGAACTCCTCCAGGTTCAACTTCCCATCGCTAAAATGTTTACAAGTAGAAGTACACGCAAAGCTTATAAAGTTTAGTTCGATTTTACAAAATTACAATCAATATGGATACGGTTATTTTGCTGCTTTAACCTTTCTCAAGCCATTTAACGGTTAAAAATAGACACAATGGAGTGCGGAAGAAAGGCCCGGATTCAAACACACTAATTATGCAAAACACATTTCCGAAAATTTAATTCGCAGCTTTGTGAAAAAATTCAATCGATAACTCATTTCAGGGAGGGCTTAATAGCTCGTGTACGATTTCACGTAATCAGTTTCGAATGGGACAGTTTTCAATTGGATTTACATTCGGGGTTAATTACACCACACAAAACTAAGGAAAGTAAAGTCGGGTTGGGGGTTTGTAAACCCGTTATTACACATCGGAGTCAATCATTTCATAAAAATAAAACCAACATAAACATTTTTTTATTCATTTTTGGTGGAGTGGAAAATTTCAGGGAAAATGTTTCGAACATAAACATCACCTGTTATTGCTTTTTTTTTTCAGGTTTATGACCTAGTTTTAAGCGAAACCAAATAGTGGATTCTTTTAATAGGAGTCAAGGACGTCAAAAATGATCTGTGGGCAAACAGTTTACAAAAAATTTAAAAATAAAAATTAATTATGTAGCTTAGAGCTCATAACAGTTTCTTTATTTGACCAGGTTTCCAAAAATCGCTCGAGGGCGCTCATTTTTTCACCAAAATGATAAAAATCTAATCAATATTTAAATTAGGATAATGGCTCGTTAATTAATGTTTATTTTTTAACTTTACCTACTTTGTGACGTCATTAACAACTTTTTAAACCGAATTTTGTCATTACATAAATATTCTTTCACTTTTCACTTTTACTGCAACAGTAAATACTGACAAAGATTTATGATTTCATTGAAATATTCGCTCACTCATCGATAGTATATTGCAATTTTATGTATTTTTAATTCCAATTTTTACATTTTGTAGACGTTCATTTAGAATATTTTTAATTTCTCTATTCGCCGCATTGGAATTTTCCCAATTCCAATAAAATGTAGGTATACGTGAAAAAACACAGCGCCTACTTTAAATTTTGGAACAGTAGACTAATGTGTTTATCCTGCTGTGAAATTGGTTGCCTAAACTTTTTATTAACAAAATAAAAAATTTAAATCTGATAATAATTAAATTCAATGTTGAAGGAGCTTTTCGTTTTCTTTGCCAAAAGAATTTCAGATTTTAAAAACATTTACGAGTCAAGTTGTTAAATATTTATTTGAAATATTGAACTATCTAATTTTAATACCTTAACAAATATGTTTTTCTGAATTGTCAACTGAAAGAGTCATTTTTGTTCACTTTTGTATTAAAATTCACACATGACAATATGTGTTATTTCATTCCATTATAACAAAAATTAATAAAACTTTTGGAACATTTCAAATTTAATTTTTTTATTATACCTACAGTGCCTTCGCAAATGACTGAGGGCCAGAATACCCAGGCACCCAATGTAAAAACTTTTAATTCATTAATTACATTACATTACAATATCAAGGGCGCCGAGGTTCACGACGCTCTTGGTCATTTTATGAAGGCACAGTATTTACCAATTGTGTTGTATTTTAATCCATTGATTTGAAAAATTATTATAAAAAATCCTTTTTTTATCGATTTTTACTTTGAATCTCAGTTGAATGAAATTAAACAAATATAACACCTGTAAAAAATTTCTAATCTTGAAAGATTTTATCTAAAAACCAAGTTCAAGTCCAAGTAAGTGTTTTTTTAAAAACGAGTATTTGTATCTTTAGAATGATAACAGTCGTATCACCAAATCATTATCGATTCATGTCAATGACGATATTTGGCAAATTCTAATTTCCCTTGAAAAAAAATGGTAATCCTCCATAGATTATTGAACATGACTGCAGCAAATTACCAAAACCGGCTATTTACACAACCGCGGTGTTCTACTGTTTGCTATCAATAAACACAGGTATTGTATAAATTCAAGGCCTCGATTGTTATCCGTCGAGCCTATATTTCCTCGAAAATCTGGCATTATTTAACATAAAAATGGCGTCCGAATAAAAAAGGCGCGAAAAAGCATTCTCGTAAATCCCCTCGTTCTAAATTTAGCCCCGGCATCAAATCATCATCGACATCTAAACATCTAACCTAAAAGCTTCTACTGGTGATATTTACCAATCCTTGTCGAAAGCAGCAAAGCACGCGTCCATACTGCACGTACAAATAAAGTTCACAAAATCAATGCGATTTGTGCTACCAGTCATGTCTACTGCAGTTGGGGTAAAACTACGCGCCAAGTAGTGTTTACAGTCGATAATATCAACGCGACGACGATTTCCCTTCGCATCGCTGACTGACACGAAACCGAATCGCCGACTCGCTATCAACGAAAAAGCGTGGGAATTCCCGAAAGATTTTCCTTGTGTGACGGATGGTATTTTCGGACTGACATCATATGACGTCACTTGACAATCGACGAGGGGTTTATCGATCGTTCTCACGTCATTTCAAGGGGTACTTCTTGGGGATTAACCATTCACGAGGGCGAAATGAAGCACGTAATAACAGAGAGGGTGAATGGGAAAAGCGAAAATGATTGCGACGTGTGTTTACAGAAGGTGACAAATCTTGAGGCACGATGAAAGGGCTATATTTTCAAAGAAATGGAATTTTCTTTCTAATAATCTTGACTTTCGGCTTTAATATCGATCAATGTTTACGCATGGGATGATGAATCACTTGAAAATTTATTGTTATCTTGTGCAAAGGAAATGAGTTAACTAAATATTAAGTTGCACAAAGTTTCCGAATGTTTATGACGTTATTTTGAGAAAGAAATTGTAAAATAATTCTGCCGTGTCCTTAAGTATATTTTGATAAGAAATTATCTTGATGTTTGGTGCTAAATATTTTAGATACGAATATAACTATCAAAAATTTTCAAGTTTGTTTTAATCGTAAATTACGTGTTCTTGTGCAAGTTGTTATTATTACCAAGCTCTCTCTAGGTCAATAGAATATTACGCTATACAAGAATATCGTTTGTTTGGGTATTACCCACAAAGACCACCACGTGGTTATCAGTGTACCACATGACAAAATATGTAATAACAGTACTACTATAAAAATTCCAAGTCTTTGCTTGTCCGGGCTTTTTAACATAATCTTCTGATTACGCCCTTAATACATAAATGACTTGTATTAATAAAATTTAATGGTAAACTATGTCAATATTTCCACTGTTTTTAGTGTTTGTTTTATTATTATAAAAACGTTTTTTTAAAAGTAGATTCATTCGATTATTGCTACAAACGTTTTGTGTGATCTGTCTACCAGATAAAGATAAAAATGACAAATTTCTCATTTTGGGCGACATCTTTAATCATATTGCGAGCAGGAATTTGTCACGACATGACACAATCCATTTACGAAAAACGCTCAGGTAATAATTTTTACAAAAATACATTTATTTATTAACGAAAAACAACAACAACAAAACTAAACCTACATTTAAATACTGCATTTTCACCACACTTAAATAAATACTCAATCACGTGCAAAATGGCTTTATATTTTTTAAAATGGCCCCTCCGAACACTCTCACTGGTGTTTTAGTCCAACTAATCAGCACGTCTTTGCCACTAATCGGCGCCCCTTTTCCCAAAGCACAATGATAGCTCAGTTCTACCAACTTTAACCCCGTCGGTTTGGGCGAATACTCCTCAATATCGTTGGCGACCCTCGCCCCAAAGTGTCCCTTTTTGGGAAGCACCTTAATCGCTGGCGCCGGTTTAAAAAGCGACCACATGCTTTCGAAAAAGTCGAAAAGTTTTGGTTTCCGGTTCGGTTCAACCGAAAAGTAGCTCAAAATCGAGGGTATTTCAGTGTGCACCCCTTCCACGCCGGTGGCGTAATGGCCACGAGAGGGGAAGTCACTATGTGACGCGTGCGAGGTTGACGATAGGACGAAATTGAACCCGAAAACGTCCCCTTCGATCCCATCGTCCAATCCCTTATCGAAGTCGGTGTACTCTTGCCCCACCACGATATCGCCGCCGCCCTTGATTTTGGTGCCTCGTAACTGCAATAATAAAGGTCGGCGAGTGATTGACTCGATTTTGGTGTTACCTGAGGCGCGAAACCGCTCGATTTTAACTTTCCATTCAGGTATAGGGACCACGAGGCGTGCGACGATGACCAAGATTGGCACACGTGGTACCAATGGTTCTCGATGAAGTGTGTATGGATTTTGAATATCGGGTGTTGCAGGATTTCCAAGTTTATGTCGGTGCCATGGGGGGAAATCCAAACACGGATTAAGCGCTCTTCTTCATGTTCTGGGAAAAAATATAGCTGATGACAGTACACGAAATGAAAGTGTGATGTAAAATATAAGCATCATTAATAACAAGAAATAAGGAAAATTTTTAAAGAGTCGTAAAAACTTACTTGAATATGAAAGTAGGGGATGTGAATAAGTTAAGTTGTTGCTTCTGACCCAGATACAAAACGTATAGTCGCTTAAGGGTGGCACGTGACTAATATATCTTAAAAACTAGAAAAAGAAAGCATCACAGTGGAATTGGATTTATTGTCACACTAACCTGGATGTAGCCTTTTTGCGTGAAAGACACCTTATGTATGGTGGTATCATAAAGTCCGTTGTAATTTTGAACGAAACTTTGGACGCCGTTTCGTTTATTCAACACGGCCTCAATCTCCCAAAGAGCGAAACAACAAAAAAGTAGCGTGTGCTTTACAAATTCCATTTTTATCTGGAAGAAAACACGTCGGAGAGTACTAATGATGTAATTTTTACACGATTCGTGAAGATAAGTTCAATGTCGCGGTCGTTTACTGTGAATTTCTGGTTTGAAAGCTGCCATTGACAGTGAACGAGAAAAGTAGGAAAAATTACTACCGCGATCGATGTATACAATTACCGGAAAGTTTTAATCGATAGTTTAAAATTACAGCAATTTATTTCTCATTCCAACAAACTAACAAAAATAAATGTCTAGTCCCAGTTAGCCACGAAAAAGGAATTGTAATTAAGCCAATTATTGTTGCGGTAGTAACAAAATAGGCGGTGAGGATTGTAGTTGGTCTGTGTTTTTCCGTTACCATACATAGCAGTCAAATAAATGAACCAAGCACAGGTGTCTATATCACTATAACCCAACAACAATAACTTCAGCTATTTTTTTGATAATCGTCTAAGATGATTGGTTCAATGTTTTCCAGCAACAGAGGAAATCGGCCAATTACATTTAGCGGTTCCGTTTCCCTTTCCGTACTTGGTTCACATTACTCAGTAACCATTCTTATAAAAACCCACCTCTTAGGCTGATTTCTCTATGATTTGTTGAGCTTTTTGTTACAACGGTAACAATAACAATTAACAAATCAGAGGTTTTTTTCGCTTTCTTTGTCGTTATTTGGTTGTTACTAAATTTGTATGTTACACACAAAGTCCCTAAACTTTTTGTATAACTAGCTATGAAGGGAACTAACCAATATCACACAGAGAGGGAACTCAGTCGTAAGAATTTTGAAAAACAAATTACTAGTTTAACCAATTTAATTATGTGTATAAACTAGATTAAAATCTGCATTTTTGTGGTCTGTCTTTCAATCAAAAGTCCATTTCGGATTTGTGACCAAGCAGACAATTTTGACAACATTTTGCAATTGACTTTGATTTCACTTATATGCGTTTTTATAATAAATCGGAGTTTACATAAATGTCTAATAAAGTGGCAAGATTTATCGCATCGATAATTTCTCGTATTAGCACGGCAAGTTCACGCCACGCACTTTCCGGTTGCCGGTACCCTCATTACCATTCATTAAGCGGATTCCCGTCCAGATCCCGATTTTGGATAAGAAAAAACAATGCCGGGATTGTTGACACAGGAAAGTTCGTAATTTACATGAAAAGGAAGAAAATACCGGTCCCAATGAAAAAGTTTTTCACAAAAATGATAATGATTTTTGTTCCGTCTTGTCCATTCACTTTTGTTTTGAATAATTAATAACGAGAGAGTTAATACAGCGGAAATTTTTCAAGAGGCTCATTAACCGGATCCGAATGTCAACTTCAAATAATGTTCGAGGATCGTCCTGTATTATTAAATTAGATTTGCTGTAATTATTAATAAGTGTTTTTGTGGATCTCCTGCCTCGTTACTTCGGATATGAGTGAAAGTTGTTTATTATTATAATTTGGCGGACCGTTGTACGTGAGGGAATCCCGTTGTAAACAAAACGGTTGATTTGGAAATTGAAAATCAAATTAAAAATCAAACGTAATGAGATTACACTGCAATTGCTGTAAAATTATGCAAGGAGAATATTTATAACATTAGGGATAACTAGTGCGTAAGCATCATCATTAATAATAATATTGCACAATATACTACTTTCAATTTACTAATAACACAACTCACTTGAAATAAAAAATCACACAACACAGTTTTTTTTTAACTAATCAAGCACATCTTAAGCTCAAACGCTTTGCATCGCAACCGAACCATGCTGAATACTTCGCTATACTGCATGTGGTAAATTTTCTTTTTAGAAATGTGGCCGGTACGTCCTCCTCCACTTTACTCTAGACACACTTCTCTTGTATAACAACTATTTGAATTGACAATTAAGGTCGTTTTTGTAAGCCAAGTGCAGTTGCGGTTTCGTTACTTCATTAACTTAACTGTGGAAAATTGCAAAGCATTTGTACACAAGATGCAATCAATCGACCTCACGTTCTTTTGTCATGGATTCACAATTTTCCAGAAAGTCATTCTAAGAAAAACAACTTTTAAATTGCAGTTGATTACAAGGTGAAAAATGTGTATAGGAACGATGTCCCAATTAGCCAAGAACTTGTTAATGAACAAGAAATGTAATATTTATGAGTAGTTGATTCTAATTGTTGCAGAATGGGGAAATGAAAGGAAAACTGTAAAATAAAAATATTTTATTTTCACATACTATGTAAACAAATGTAGTAATATATCATGCTACTAATCTCTCCCGAAAATGGGACATCGCAACTGCATTTCTTCACTTCGAGATAATATTTCTCTACTCATTTGGGTTCAAAGCAAAAAAAAATAGAAGTGAGAGTCTATGTTATAGATTTGAAACACGATGTATTCTAGTTTTGCCAATTTTGAGTTTGCGAAAATTTGTCGAAAACTTATTTGCTTTTGTAGGGAAATAAAGGTGATTTTTTTTTGAAACAAACGACAAGTTTAGTGGAAAAATAATTTACGTTCTTGATGATTTAGTTGCTGTGGCATTTGCTTTGCACATGAGAGCACAATCCAGCGCACGGTACGATTCCAATTAACAGGCTTGTATGACATTCTCGTTTATTTTCAGGACGGTTTAATGGTAGCTCGTTTAGAATCATAGAGAGTGGAAGCAGGAACTGTTAATTGAGTCAGATGCAAAAACATGATTCTGTAACAGCTTTGACTGAATCGATTTTTTTATTTGTGGTTACCGAAGTATTACAAAATTGCTTGTGGCTTGAATGTGAAACTCCACATTCGCATGACACTTTTTACGAATTTTGTAGCGATTTTGTGTATTTCCGCAACGCGTAAATTAATTTCCTCAGCTTCCTAATTTGGCAATAGTAATGTAATGTGAAAGGTGCAAGCAAATATTCAGTGATTTAATACTAATTAATTGATTTCAACCGTTTAAATCGCATATCTAAACCGGACAGCCGTTTGATTCCTCCATTCCTGCTTTAGATATTTTGACGGGGGTCACTATGTCGCAATAATTGAGTATAACAGGTGGGTTTCGAGAAGGCTTTACCGGGTTAGGCGATGGCATGGATTTGAGAAGGGGTCCTTGATCTTGATTCTGGCGGTTTCCAGAAGGTTAATATTACTGAATGTTTCGAATTTCACTGATGATATTTGTTGCCTCGAGACGAAGAAAGCTTCATAATTGATCCTAAACATTTTTTTGCCGAGAAATACTTTCAAATGATGATTCCATTGCGTAAGGATTCTGGGTGGAATCTTTGGTGAAATTGGACGATTGGGTGTGCGGTAATTGGACCGCGTTTCCGATTTCGATGTCGTTACGCATTATAGTCTAGACCGACTGTTTTCGGCGGTTTCACTTTAATCATCAGAGAAACGTAAAAAATAAGCGATCAAGTGCAATGTCAAGCTCAACGATTTATTATAATTTTACAATTTTTGATGACATTTTAATTTTTAAGGGAAAGCTGAAATAACAATATAATAAAAAGAGTTTTAAATATTTTGTGTTAATAAAAAGGTCATTTTTTGTGATTTTTATTAATTTAATTACTTGTACAGTTGGAGACAAATTACTTTGGTTGTCAATGTCCCTTGAGTGACATTAAATTGTAAAGCATGCTTTAGGACTGTTAACCTTATTCTTAGCCACTGTCAATCATAGTTGACAAGTTGTATGTACATATTTTTGATAATAAAATACAACAGCTGTCATTAGTTTGAAATTGTCATTCATTTTAACGTTAAAGCTTGAATTACATTAAAGTGTCAGAAAAGTTACGAACAAAGTATTTTGTCTCCAACTGTACGTTATCCGATCTCGAGGCTGGTGCCTAGATTTCAATCTGATTCTGGGCGCGAACGCCTACGTTCTTCGAAACGATAATTATTTGAGAATATGTAATTGTAATTTATAATTTATAAATTATAACTTTGTAATTTACTGTCAGATTTTGGCAAATTCTATGTCAAAGAATATGGTTATTAAACGACTATTTGTGTTGTTTCTATTTTTGTTTACTTTGGACGGTAGAAATCTTTTTTTTTCAAATGATGTCCCATATTTTATTTTAACTTATGTAACTGCTAGAAATTTTATTTAATGCTCACAATACCTATCAAGTGGGTTTCGTCTTTGATCTTTTATAAACAAACAAAACAAATAATAATTCCAATTTTTTTATTTATTTTGCTTCTAACTATTGTCAGTTCTGATAAAATTTGTTAAAGTTGTTATCATTAGCAATTGGTGGTCGATTTATTCCATATACATGTATTAAGAAAATATTTTTGAAAAATTTCTTAGGTACTGAAGTTTTTTCCTTGCAGGGCAGCGCCGGCAAAGCCCCTTACTACATGGGCTCGACCGCCAGCCTCCCCCGCGGCGCCGCCCTCCTGCGCACTTACTCCCCCGCCGTGGGGGCCCTACCCGCCGACCGTCTCAAATCTCTCCCGACAGGTAACAATCCACCCAATCCACCTCCAGCTCTTGAATGCCGCACGACAGCACAGTGCATGGTAGTTAGCTTAGACGCTTGACCAAAAGTCGGATTTTCTTCTTTTCTGAAAGAGGAAAATCTGATAACTCACCATGAGTGTTTTGTTGGTAATGGTGAAGGTAACTTTTGAAAGGTGCTCCTCCCAAACCTCAACGTGCGTACTCCGGTGGGTCCACCCGTTCGAGTGATGGCCCACCAAGACCACCAGACCGATTCGCCCCCTTCCAAAGGCCTGCCAACCCTCTCTTTGCTTTACCAGGTGGGTCGACACCGTCCGAATCGTCCCGTCGAGGCTGCAGATTGATGTGGCATTGAACTTTACAAAAGTAGAGTAGAGAGACCAAAATTAAACCTTAGATACTTGTAGAATCACTGTAGAAAGATCTGAGTGTGATGTAGAACTTTTCAAAATTGAACTACATTTTACTTTTTTTATTTATTTTTTTGATAGATGGGTATATGTCGTCGCCTGAGAGGGGGTCGCGCTACGAGGACCCCTACTACAGCCAATACGCTTCCAGGTCGGGTTCCATCACCCCTGTTATAGACGAAGAAGTCAGGTACAGCCCCCAACTTTATAAAGTTTTTTTCCCCAACTATCTTTTTATTTTAGTGACACCGAGTTGCTGGACGATTCCTACTCCCTTTACGGGGTTAAGTTAGCTTCGGGGGGTCCACGAGGGGGTCCTAGGTCCCCCTTTCCACCTCCTGCGGCCGTTCCATATGACGCTACACGGTAAAATAGTAATTAAGACGTATTCAGTGATTGAATTAAATGCGTTTTTAAGGTTGCGTGTAGAAAATATGGAGCGTCAACTTGCTAATTTGACAGGTTTGGTACAAAAGGCACTCACGCAAACTCCCACAACGCATTTACAAGTACCAGGGAGGGAGAATTATCGTACAGGTATTTATCTTGTGGTTGCGAGTGCGTGGGCTTGTGTTTGTTAATGCACTAAATAGCAATTAGTATAGAAAATTTTCAATTTTTGGGAGGATGAAGGATACGGGGGTTTCCTTTCGGAAAATTGGTCAGTATGAGTTAGTGTCAATCCGCTTGTCAAAACTAAATCTGTACTTTGAAAATTGTATTTTTACATTTTTCAAATTATCCGAAAAGTGTTACTTGCAAATAATTTTTAAATTTGCTTTTTATTAAAAAGTAGTGATTTAAATGTGTCTGACATTTATAGAAAGCAGAGAAATCGTATTTTTGTCCAGTATTTTAAACTGACTTTAAACTAAAAGAGAATTCCATGAAGAAGATTTTTTTTTATCTGTCGCCATTGTAAGTGAGAATCTTTCTCCTCAGTTGTAGTGGGTGGAGAAACCTAAGGTCATCTCCACTTTCTAGCATTTTATAGTTGTTTTTTTTTTGTACTCTGACATTCTAAACAAAACGTGTAGGTACAGAAAATAAGCAAACAATTCTGGAGAAAATACAAATTAAAGGTTTCATTTAAGTATTTCAAAAAGTTGGGTTTAAAATGGACTTATAAGATCCTCCAGGTACTTCCGAATTTGCTTAAATCTCAAGGAATTTACACAATACACTTGTATTTGAGACAAAATGGTTTCTATATCTTGCAATAATTGTCATATAACAGAATTTAAACCTTGGTAACACTAAGAAAAGTATTTTCATTATCTTTATTCACATAACACAATAATACAAAATTTTATTAAAAAAATAATTAATGAGTCAAAAAACAGCACAATCTGAAGCGGCTTCAGCGAATATAGAAGCGCCAGAATCTGAAGAAGGGGATGTTCAAGCAGTTCCAGGGAATCCACTTTCACAACAACAATGCACTAATACCTAGTAAAATTAAACATTTACTAAATGCAAAAGAGAAAATAAGAACCTCTGCAGTGCCTACATCTAAAAATTCATGGATGATGTTGACTATGAGCATCACAAATTACTAATTAAAAAAACGTGAAATGGATCTCTACATGGGACAAGCGTGGCACATTGGGTATCAAATTTCTATTCCACAGAAAAAAATACTTATAGTGTTTAATTTACAATAAAAATATGTTTATATTGACTACTCACTGCGCCATTTTTTTGTTTTTATTACACACCAACAAAAATACGATTACCTACCACTTGTTTGTTTATTACAAGCAGATCTAAAAACTTTTTGCTTTGTGACAACAACGGAACAACGCTAAACTTGTCAAAATTCCCGTATCGTCTATCACTTATTAAGCAAATTGCAATTTTAAGTAGAAAATCATTCACCAGATTGGATTCGAACCGAATTGGCAATTTACAAAATTTTCTTTATTCATTAGAATTCAGTTCATGTTCTATTATACATGTAGCATCAGCGCCTGCCGATGGTGTTACTAATGTTGCGATGTGTGTGGTGCTTGTGAATAGTTTGTTGCTAACATCACCATTTCTCCTGCAGGAGACGAGTTCGATAAGAACTCCAGTTCAAGTTCCGCCTCTTTACCAGGTTTGTATTCACCCGCTTTTGGTCGCTTTTTAATTCAACTAACATCATCCATCATCACCGCGCATGAGATTTAAATTTTATTAAAAAAGTGTCAAACGACGCGCGATGATTTCCCTATCGGATTATATTGGCAGTAACATACTTAGTTTTTAATTGATTAGCCAGATTTTGTTATTGCAAGAGGTACATTTTAATAACACTCCGATTTGTCTATGTTGGCAGATGACTCGTATCTACGATCTGACAGCAAAACGCCCAAATTGGGCAAAAGCGGCTGTCGTAAGTCCATATTTTTACTAAGCATGTCTTAGGAGTATCTCGATGTGCGAAACTCTTCTCATTAAGTCTTTGTACATAGATCCCGCTTGCTGAAGAACCTGCAAGGATATTTGGAAAGAAAAATAAATTTCTTCATTCGGCGTTTCTTATCTGAGACTTTTTCGGACACCGTTTTTAAATTTGTATTAAAAAAACAAATAAGTGTTTCTTGATTGGTTTTTTTCACTGCTTCCAAGGAAAGAACTGTCCGAAAAAGTCTAAATCGGATACAATATCTAACTACTTATCTCTGCATTAGACTGTCTATTCTGCTTCCTTCTTGACCATCTTCAAATTTTCGAAATATCCTGCTAGTAGTTCCAAAGAATCTCTCCTCAGTCTTGTGCTTTCCTCAGCTATTCCAAATTTTCTAAAAATGTGTGTCCTTTTTAGATAAATCGGTTTCTTTCGAGAAATCGGTCTCATTCAGTGATGAACCCCCCGACATGAACTCGCCGAAGCAACACAGTCCACAACATGCAGGTAACCCACTAACCCATCATTCAGAAATTAGCCAAACTCACCCTTTTAATTTTTCTAAGTTTCCATTATTTTCCCGATCGAAAAAAATGAGTTTCCATTCGATTTTGTTTAGTTCCGCACTCATTTTCTTCGAGAGTCGCATGCCTTTCACAAATAAAGTAGGTATTGTTGTACGTTAATGGAATGGATCGCATGTTTGTATTTTTTCCCGACTAACTTAGTTCTTTGGTGTTTTGCTTTCCCTAGCGGATACTAAACCTGCCAAACCCGCCATTAAATCATCAACTCTTCCGCGGACCTCCTCACAGGGTAAGTGTTTTTTCCCTCGATTTTTCCATCTTGAAGATTTGGTAAAACGAGGTTTTTCTCTTGACTAACCTGGGTTTGATTTAGAGAGAGATCGTTTAAAACCGGCGCCTCCGCCAAAACCGGCATCGTTATCTCCAGGACAATACGATGGAAGACTTTTATACCGCGACCTGCAGTTAACACCAGAAATGTACAACCAGTTGCGTGGGTTGCAAAAGAAAGCAAAAGATTTAAGAGCGGAAGTTAGGAATTTGAGGAGGATGTCACAAGCTCAAGCTCACTCAGTCAGAGAAACAATTAGAGACACTTTTATTAAAATTAGAGCAATGCTTTTAGCTGGAGGTGAACAAGTGTGGCAAGCCGGTAAGTCAGTGTTACTAAGAAAGAATTAGGTTTTTAATCCTCAAATTTAGGAATGGATCAAGAACGGGTACGTTTAAGTCGAGAGGAGGACCTTTACAAGCAAGAAATGTTACGTTTGGAGAAAGATTTGAGCGATCTAGAATCAACAGTTGAGGAATTGAGGGGTAATGTGATTAATAGGAAGACGAGAGTTAATATGTCTGATGTTGAAAACATGGCACTAGTCTTAAGTAAAAGCTCAAAAACTGTGGCCGATTTAAAATTAAGGTGACTTATACATGGGAGTTTGGTGAGTTGGTATGAGTGATTGGTTGCAGATTTCCCGGCCTACAAGATGGAATGAAGACTTTTCTAAGTTCAGAAATGGAGAAAGTTATGAGGGAGGAAAAGTTTCTCAAGGAAGAGCCTGAACGGCTGGAAAGTGCATTAAGACGGTGTAAAAAGCTTACAGGGACTCTAGTCACTTTAAAAAGGTTTGCATTTAACATAAGTTTTTAATTTTTGACATTGATTTATTTTAGACTTGCAAGTGTTCAAGAGCAACGACTTCCGTGCTCAAATTCATCGACTGATGGTCGTCTTTCGCCCACCGTGACGGAGACGCCTCCTATCACCCCCACGTCCTCGAGCAAGGTAAGTTACCTAAAAACTAGCTCGATGTCTAACCTGCATGTCTGTTGTGTCGAATCAATTTATACGCGATGTAAATTGATTCAGTCAGCATTTTTCCGGAGAAGAATGCCTTACATTAATGGACTAATAAGGTGATATTCTTACAATGATGCAATAAGCATTTCCAATGTTACCTTAGCTATGACAACCCCTACCCCTTTCTGAGTCTCGACCAATGTTCGTGAAAATGAGGATTTGAGTCGGTTTTTCACGAATATCGGCATCGATTTGAACTTAGATTAGGCCTTTTCTTGCTGTAGAAGCATCTTGTATTTCCCCAACCCCAAGTCTCACAATTAACTAAACCATGCACATGGAATCGCCTTAAACTCAATGTTAATGTAAGAAGCTTAAAGAGGTCACTTGTAAATTTGTACATATTAATGTTCTAGATTTTGTACAGTGATAATTTCGAAAATGTGCGATTCCTCAATTGAGAAATCGCGATTAAAAGACCCCATCTACCCCCACACTAGACACAAGCGAGCTAATCACAAAGCATTGAAACCATCTTTTTGTTGTCTTTGTCTAGTACGACTGGAAGTGGAGTTCTAACTTCAAGGAAGCTATAACCACTCACGAGTAAAATAATTCTCCGTTTATCAATAATGCTTGCATATTTATTTCTTGACTCGTACGTGATATGTTCTTGATAATGAACTGTTCATTGATTATACTTGGCTTGACGAGTATTTACTCTTGTAATTTATTGGTCTTTCTGCACTCAGCACGAAATTACAACAACCCTCTCACACGATCACTATTTTTTCTTGCACTCGTTTGCTTCAGAATTATATTTCTTTTCGGTGCGTGAAGACGTCCCAAGGGACGCTTTCACGCCGGTACAACTGCTTCAAGGACCAATAAATTATGGACGTGAATGACGACAACTACCTTTTCCTTATAGTAAGGTGTCATTGGAAATGTCATAGGCCAAACGGCCATTGCACCACCAAGTATTCAAGCCAGAAACCGGTTTCTTAAGCGTTTCTGCCTTGCCCTCACACAGTTCAGATGCTTTGATTTACTTTGTAGTCTATTTCGCTTGACTAGTTTTGGGACCCGAACTTTACTAGTACATTATGGCATTCTGTAGACAAGTAGATTTATTTTTTGAATGTACTTGTAAAGGTTGCGTAGCTTAGATTTGTCGTAGCTTTTTTTATTTGCTTATTTTGGAGGAGTTTTCACAGTAGTTACGAGAAATTTTCGGTTGGCCAACTCTAACCTTACTATAAGGGAAAGAACTTATATTTGCATGCTTTGCCTGGTTACTGCACGCTATCTTTCACCTTTATTTTTAACAGAATGTGTGAATTTTTGCCTTCGTGGCAATTTTATTATTGGTAAGATCTAAGAATCAATCTTCCTGCATGCACACTTTCTTCAGCTTTTGGATCTTTCTTCTATCTGTATTTTAGATTATCTAATTGTTGGTTTTTTATTTATTGATTTAGTAATTGTTTCAGTTGGACTCACCCCATAATCTGTAGTTGACGTGATTTTTTTTGCACAAAAATAAGTTTTGTTCTTTTAAGGTAACCTTTTTTTATTGTTTCTTCACGAAATGTCTACAATCTTCTTTAACAAACCTTCCGCTAATACAAAACTATGCACATTAACATTTGCTTAACTTGAGAGAAGGTTGTCTCATTTGAGTTGGATTGAAAAGAACGATTTTCCCATTGTTTTGGGTCCAAATTTTATTCACCTAAAATGGAATTTGGAACTACTTATTGCGCGTGCAAAGATTCATTTTCATTTTCCATTTAATAAAAAAAAAACTTTCTTTGCAACGCTTATAATTATTATTATCGAATAAATTGCGAATGGACGAAAATAAGAGTTTTCTATTTTTCGTTCGATAACTTCCAATTAAACCAATTAGAAAATCAACAAAATATTGTCTAAAATTTTGAAAACAACTTGCAGGCAAAATCTTTTCACGCGTGTTATGTTCAGTTAAATTTCTTTGATTTCTGGGAAAATTATACAACTCAAAACTCGTAAAAAAACTTATAATGAACTCATAAAGACTGAAATTAATTATTGATGAATTTGTTTCATTAATAAGAGATAATTTAATAAAAACAGATAAAATAAACAGGGACTGTTTAATAAAACACAAGCAACTAAAAAAAAATTGTGTTTTATGCATTCTTTCCTTCTAAGGAAATATTTCCCACACAAATGTCAATAATTCATCAACTACTGTTTGCAAACGAACTATTCCGTGTTTATTTCGCAAACCGACTCAGTAAGTCAACTCTTCTCCTACCAGATTTGGTCTTACGAAGATTGTAGACAAATTTTATTTTTTATTTATTAACTAAAAACACACAATATAGTAAGTGTGTTTGTGATGAGCTTGCCTTTCACCTGGACTTATAGGTTTCTTACTGTTTACTCTATATTGGTGTTTTAGAACGAATTTTGCCCCATCTGGTTTTTCTATTCATCAACCTGTTTTCTGATTTTAAAATTTTGCGCAGCCCCCTTCCGGTGCACGTATGGGGTCGGTCATCGTCGGGGGAGACTCCGTCAGCTCCAGCGACAGTAGCCAACGTCCGGAGAACGCACTCGACGCTTTGTTAGATGAGCTCCAGACCTTCTCCAAGCCCCCCAATGAGGAGGAGCCGCCCGCGGTGCCCGCGAAGGGCATCGTCCCTAGTCATCCCCCGCACATGTCCGAGATCGGCCGGAAAGGCAGCATGGACTCGGCCACGTTCCTCCCGACCCAGAACCTGACTGTGAGCACCGCCACCGGCAGTTTGCGACGGCTGCACTCCTACCCCAGCGGCTCCGACACGGACAACAGCCCCCCGATCCAGCCCCAGAAAACCATCAGTAAGCCCCCTCTGCCCGAACGCAACGCTGAGCTGCTGCAGCACATTACGGGACGGCGCGTTCCGCCCCCTCCGCCGCCACGTACCAGCTCCAAGTCGCCTCTCGCCTCTCCCACGTCCCCTAGCCTGCCCCCGCGCTCACCCGCCGCCGGCTTGCAGCACATCCAAAACGTGCAAAACATGGTGGAGAACAAACCGCAATCGCAGTTTGAGACTGCCACGCAAAACCTAGGTTTAGGCACTTTGAGGAGAAACGTTCCTAATAGGTCTAGTATCAAGGATAAGGCGCAAACGCTGCCCAGGAATGTGGGGTCGAATCTACAAGTACCCCCAGAGAATGAGGCGATAAGTGCCTCAAATAGTAGCAGTTGCGAGAGTGTTAACTCGCAAGATGGAACGAAGAAGTCGCGGAAGGAGGAGTTGGAGCAGAGGCATCAGGAGTTGCTGAAGAAGCAGAAGGCGCTCCAGGAGCAGTACGCCAGGCTGCAGCAGCTCCAAAGGGGGGCCAGTACGTTGGCGGTGGTGCCCCCGACCTCCGAATTATTGAAAAAGACAGGAAGTGAGTCGAATTTGTTGCAGAAAATGGGGCTCCAAATGACTACCTCACAGATCACCGGGTCTTTGACGAATCTTCCAAATACAACCGCTAATTCCGTTAGTAAAAACACCTCGACCAATACGAATACCACGACTAGTAACAACGCGGAAGAACAGACCACCACGACTAATAAAGTTTACGAAACTGATATACTGTGACCAAGCACTCAAAGACGCCTGCAATCTGTATGTTGAATTTGTTGCACTCGATACTCATATCACGACTGGATTGTTACTTTTCCTGTTTACTCTGATTGAATGTAGTCAGTGTTTTATAACGGTTAGGGATTTTGTCTTTTCGATCTTAATATCTATAAAGACGTAATTTTACGAAAATACAACAAAGTCGCTGTAATTTTGCAAAATTACGTAAGGAACGTTCTAAAAATGTCACTTTTCGTTACCTATCACGATTTGTTATGATCTACACTGAATTTGTACATAATTACAAAAAGATTGCAAAATGTATGACGCACTCATTGGAAAATTAAAAAACACCACTAAATTTGTTGAGACACAATGTATATAAAATGTTGATTTGGATCGTTCCGGTTTTATTTACTATACAGGAGCGTACAGAAGTATGAAATCCACTCTTTATTGAATGAAAGATTTATTTTGGAAGACATTCGTAAAACAGCCTCCCCGTATATTTGAAAAATTTACAGACACGCTAGGTATCATCCTAAATGAATGAGTTTATTAGATAATGTGGCTTCCCAATGCAACATTATTGGTTCACGTAACTTAAAAAATGTTAAACGAGAGATTGTTTTTGTGCTTTTGAACGCAACTGTATTTTGGACGTTGTTAAATATTGCTCAAGATATTATAATACTTTACCATATGTAATCAAAGATGTTGCACATCATATTTAACTGTGGTGTTTTTCAAATGTTCATGTGATTAATTTTGAACGGAATTTTTTTGGCAGTACTAGAAATTCCAGTAAAGCATCCACAGACCCCCACCAATATTGTGATGTATCAGTTTTGCATTTTTATATGTACTTAGAAAACGCAAAGGTCCCTCAGCTGATATTTACTGTTAGAATTTTTTGTCTGGTATAAGGCCTACCTGAAAATGCCAAATTTTAAGACTACTACCGATCGTTGTACGCCCATAAATTCCACAGCAGTATTAAACAGAGTGAACATGCGATTATTTAAACCAACTGTATGTCATCTTTTGATAATTTATTCGCAACATAGTCACAATAGAATTAAGCAAATTTCTATTTAAATGTAAATAATTTTGGTTGTTGAATGAAACGTGGTGGCTGCTAAGCATTAGGTGCCAATGTAATTAAAGTTGTAACTGAATAAAATAATTAATACCGAGTCTCTATTTCATTTGGAGGTGTTTCAAAATATCGTCCCCTGTCTCCCAAACGAATATCTCAGCAAGGATTACGTGCGGCTTCCCCGAGTTATCGAACGACGTTCCTTTCTTAGCCTTAGTAACAAGATCTTGTAACTTGTAGCCTTTTCTAACACACGCAAGATCATTTTTGTGGAGTCGTAAAATGGGGCAAAAGTCATTTACTCCATCTCCAATATAAACAATCCTGTCATAGACAACACCCTTGTCGCGTTGCTCCTGCATAAATTCCTCCAGGACTCTCCCTTTGCACAAATTATTAGTGCTGAGTTTGCACGTATTTTGATTATGATAAGGGGAAATGGTCAGTAACCCATCTTCGATTTTTGATGGGTTTGTAAACACTTTAACAAAGCATTTACCAACGTCGTTCTTCTCTAGCCAAATATCTATAAAATGGGCATTAGAATCACTAATTATAATCGAGTCAAAAGCTGGATTTTTATGAAACTCCGTTATGAGGGACACCATGCCCCCAACAGGCTGTAAGTTCATAATCAGATTGTTTATTTCGTCAATTGTTCGGCCTTCGTGGTTCAAAAGTTTGAAAATTGCTTGCATGAAAGCTGTCCAACCTTCAGTGGAATGCAGACTTCGGATTTCAACAGGAATGTTGTCTTTGTCAGTTAAAGCTATGACAGCTGTATCGGAGTTATCGTCGAGGATCGTGTGGTCAAAATCAAATACTGCTAAGACTTTCATTGTCTAGAAAAGATATTTTGATGAGATCAGCCGAGCTATAATTAAATAAACTTACAAGTTGTTTTGAAGGAGGGAAAATTGGGAGAACTTTGCTACAAAAACGTTGGGAAGTGTTATTTTGACGTTTTATATATAAAACTGTCGTAACTTTAACAAAAAAACTTTGATGCTTTTGGAAAATATTTATTCTACTACAAGCATTTGTTACAGTCCTGAATATTAACAACATTTAGGTTATGTCACGTATAAATTAATAATATTAATAATTTTTTGTTTTACATTTAAGCTTAAAAAATTTTGGCACAAATAATGTCCCATTTCTAATTATTCCCTAATTAGAACAACTGCTAAATTAAAAAAAAATAAAAAATAAAAGTTATTCAAAAGCCGGTACCAACATAATAAATTATCCAAACCAAAAGTTAAATCCCTAGATTTAAATTAACGTAGTAGAACGTCAAAATTTGCCATTTCCTGATTGATGAGAAAAATAAGAAATAATAATAAATTAAACAAGTAAATAACATGGACGGTAAAGATTCATCATCTTATGTGCCTTGGGATAGCTTCAACGAGATGAGTGGAGAATTCGACACAATGGCGTCAATACATGAACGAAATAACCAAAAATTTCAAAATTTACAAGATGAAATTGTGAGGTGGGATTTTTGTAAGATTCAAAGTAACTTTTCGAATGGTCTTATTGTAAATAGTACAAAGCTGGTTTTTAGATCCATATGAAAACCGTCACTTTGATGAAGCCAAACAAGATTTTTTACAAGGGCAAGATAAAGCTTTGAAGTTATCAGAAGTTCAGGACGGTGAACACACCTTACTGTTAAGTCGGAAAAGACAATTACAACATGATATAAAAAAAATGGAAAAGAATATCAAAAGTGTTACTGCAGAGTTAGATGAAGGCATGCAAAGTAATGAATAATCTTATAAATGTTGAAATATTTGAAAGTACGGTGATTTTAGGCCTTGAGAGTCTTAAAAAGACGTACAAAGAACACAAGTTTGCTTTAAACGTTGCCAAAAAAGTGTATGAAAAAAGTTTTCATATTCTTGCAATTACTGAAGAAGAAAATAATGACACCTTTAAAGCAGTTGTTAGTTTTAATGAAAATGAAAATTTCAGAGCTACTTTATCAATACATCGAGAGCACAATAAAATTTTGAGTAAGGGAAAACCATTCTGGGAAAACACTTTAACAGGTTTGTTTTTTAGGTGTTGAGTGTAATTGTCTCCCACAAAAAGAAGTGGAAGATTTGATGGGTTTATACAATAAAACAAACAACGCTATGTTATTTCTATGTAGACTTAAGAAATTAGCATTAAGTGAATCTCATTGATTCTTTTGTGAAAAAGAAACACCAGCGTAAATAATTAATAATAGTAAGTGAAATATTTGTTTCCACGACAACGGAAATAACACGGAAAGGTAGTCCTGTAATTTGTTAGGCGTGTTTTTTCTTGCACAATGTCTGTTTAGGTTATATTCATTACAATAAATTTGTTATCTTTGTAATATTATTATCCATATTATTAATTTTTCAAATAGTTTTTCCATCACAGTTACTCAGTTCATATTACTATTTCACAAGTTCAATGATGATGAAAATTTGCAGTATCTTTGCACTGTTTTCAAATATGTATTAGATTACGTTTGAGATGACCAAAATTCAAGATACATCAGTTGGATAAAGTCGATTGTATCATGGATCGGCGTTACGATCGCTTAGAAAAAAATATGTTAGGACGAAATTTAAAAGGAATTTCAAAAAAAATATTCTTGAAAGACTCACATTTTTATAGTACCTTACATTGCACTAATAATTTTTTGTAAAGTAATTAGTTATGCAAAAAACCCTTGGTTCCATACTTTTTATTCATCGTGTATGTTTGAAAGACTAACTAGTTTCCAAGACTACTTCAATGAGTCTAATAAATATGTAAAAAATAATTGCCTTCTATTCTGCAATGTTTTTTTCTGTATTTTTGTATTGTGGTGATCTTAGGTCTTCATTAATAATTTTGAGGTGAGTCATATAACCCCGACCAGTTAACCCCGAGTTCCCATATACGAAGAGATAATGATAAGTTGATAAGATACCTTTCCACCAGTTTATGTTGAAACAAAACTTTCAAAGATACAAAAATAAAATTTTATTTGTTTCGATAGTCAATAAAATGTATTTTATTTATTTTTTATTTACATGGTTTTTATACATCTCGCCTTCTATCTTTGTGCCTTATCCTGGATCAATGACGAGAGTAGTCTCTCTCTGGAGCTTGTGCCCCAGTTAATATTTTAAACTCAATGCCCTAATTCCGAAGTGATTAGTTTTACTTTTGCAGTTTTCTAACTAATTAAATTTAAATAATATATTGTTCGACGGTTGGTTCAAATAAGTTTTGACAATGTTTCCTTGGCGGGGTGAAAAATGTTTGAAAAATTAATCCAAAAACATTTTAGGTGGCTAGAATTGTAGTTACATATGAGTTGGTTTTATAAGTTTTCTGGAATGGCGTAAATATAAAATACCAATTCTGCATTCAGGTAAATATATATCTACTTATTGGTCTTAATTTTTTTATTACAATTTATTTCCTATTCAAATAGGCCATTTAATTACATTAATGGTAAGCTTTGCTCTTTACAAAGTTTGTTGCTGTAAATTGATGTTTTGCAAATGCATCCATTGTTTTGTGTGTTTTTTTACAAACTTTCCTTGCAGCACATTCTAATTGCATGTAGAAACAATTAAGGCATGGGCATGAAACTTATCTGTTAATGATCAAAACTGGCAAAACTTTTTAGTTTGCCCTCGAAAGTTATTTGTTTCTAATTTAAATTACCCGCCGTTTTACCTGTCGAATAATGTGAAATCACGTGACCCACGCTGGGCGCCATTTCTTCGTATAAACAACGACCGGGACGGTGTTTGTGTGTCTTTGATAATTTGTGTAAAATATTGTGAAAATAGACTGTTAAAATGTCGGAAGTCGAGGCCGTCAGTGCAAATAACGCGCTACCTGAAGAAAACAGTCAAGTAAGTAGCGAAAAAGTGCGTTTAATTAAAATTTCAAACAGCAATGTGCACGTAATATTGCTGAGATTTAGAATGTGACGCGATTCGGTTAAACCCCTCCATGCCACAAACTTTCGATACTACCGGTCGCAAGGACATTCACAGTCTAAACGCGAGTACAAATCTGTCATGATTTCAACATTTTGGCCGAATTTACGCCACCCCTATGCAATATTTTACAAAAAATGACAAATTTCTATTGGGGGACGTCGCGATCGGTGCGTTTTTTGCCGATTTATCGCCAAAACTTGGATTTTATGCATGTACGCCACATACCACCTCGGCAAGCTGCGATGCACGTCGTGATCTCTATCTCTCTCTTTCGAACGATTTTCAATCAAAAGTCATGTCTGGGCTCGTAGCATACGTTGTTTATGTTATGGAGGGAAACTTTGAAAATTAATTTTCACGTAATTTTCCCGTGAGAAAATTATTGCACTTAGTGGTATCGATTTGATTTTATGAAATCCACATGAGGTTTTATATTTATGTGTTTTCGATTTATATTATCCCATGTGAAATTTTCCCGCCAAATTCTGTTTACTATAGTATGCAATTTTTTCGTAGAGTGATAAGGGAGTCAAATCCAAAAAGGCGAAATCGCCCCGATTATCAACAGTTGATCGTGCTAAAGAAGAAAGCGAGGCTATCACAAAGGTGGGTTTTGTGTAAAATGATTTGAGATGGTTTTGAATGGTGTTTGTAGGGAATATCTAGTGAAGTTGAAGGTCGTCGTATCACAAGGTCGGCAGCTAAGGGAGTGACGGCGACTCCGCCGCCCCCAGCCAAGAAAGAACGCAAAAGTCGTGGTCGTCCGAAAAAAGGCTCACAGAATGCAACGGACGAAAGCGATTCACACGATGAAAGCAAGGATGTGACTATGACTGAAAACGAGAGTCATGCTAAAAACGACGAGTCTAAAAAGGAGTCGCAGCCGGTAGAAAATAACACACATGAAGAGAAGGAAGAAATGGCGAATAATAACGCTGAGACGACTAAAGTACTACAGTTTAATTTTAATTAATTGGAGTATAATTTGCTGCATTTTAGGAGGTGGAGGCGACTGAGAATGGAGCGAAAGAAGACAGTGTGGATGCTTCAACTTCCGGTGAAGAAAAGAAAGAGGAAAAGAGTGAAACTCCGGCAGAAGATGCAGCAAGACCTGCTGAAGCATCTGAACAGCCAGCTGAGTAAATTGAGTTTAAAAGTTTGTTTTTCTTTTCTATTGCGCTGTAGGTTTATTGAACAATTGATAATTTTACCTATTATAATAAATAATATAACACATTACTTTGAAGTTATGTTGTGATTTAATATAATTCTTCGGTAACTTTTTGTAATTAAAGCGAGACGGTTATGTTTGCAACCCAAATGATTACTGATAGGTCGTTTTTTGTTTTGGTATTGACTCTAACAGTGATCGTTTGTGATGAGCGTTAACTAACCTTCAGTTAGTTTTTTTTTATAAAAAAAAATATATAGCATAGGAAAGTACATATTCACATATGTACCTGAATCTCTTTGATCCTTGAATGTTTTTAACATAGTTTCCCTTTTTAAACGAAAACGTTCGACAAAATATTCATTTTAGTATTTGTTATAAATCCCTTTAGTAATCGCTGCTGTATTATTTTAATTCCGTTTAATTGTTCAATAGCGTTTCATAGAAAAATGTTTTCAATCATACACGTAATGATTTAATAAAACTGTAATCCTGCGGGCACAGGACAAAGGAATTTTTTCTATGGTTTTGTTGTGTTGTGTCCTCAGAAATGTCGGTTATTAAAAAATGTAAATATAAGTGTAAAATGTAAATATTAAAATATTTACATAATTTAGAATATTATTCTTTTTGCACTTGTATACTTAGTTACACAATTATTTGACAGCTGCTATGAGATTGTATTTTTTGTAATCTATCCTAACAACTTTTCGTTATAATTTCGACAACTAAATCTAAATTTTGTAAAGACATTATTAGATTAGTTCTAACTTTAGTATGTTTTATATAAAGAATGAAATAGAACATGCAATTAGTTAAATGTCGAATGTAATAACAATTTCATATTCAATTTATAAAAGTAGTTTCTGTGGGTATGTATGACTGATGCTATTTAAATTAATAAATAGGTATAAGAAAGAAATGGTTTTTCACTTAACTGCAGAATTGGTGCATGAGGTAGAAGTGACAGGGTTAATCAGTCAATGCTGAAATTATTTATTTCCAATGAATATCATCAAATAACATTTTGAATATCTAAAACATACTTATGTAATATGTATATATCGGAAGAAATAACATCAAGATATCACTATAATTACTTTATATTACAAATGTAACCTTTTATAAATACTGAAAAATAAGCTGAAAAAAAAATATTGCAAGTAATCATAACATGTATAAACATTTTCAAGTCAATTAGGAATAACGTTTCGTTGTTCATACATGTTCTTACGATTTACTTACAAAGTACATAATAAATGAAAACTGTTTAACATTAATAGACATCATAACATTTTTAGTTATGCTACGAAATTTGGCGACGCATTTACCACAAAATCTTATTAGATATGTTTGTGAGGAAGAGTTAAGAGGAACTTATTGTCATTAACAAATAAATCGGGTAAAAATGTAGTGAGTGGCATTGTGGAGACGCACATTTATTGTCATAAATTGAAAAAAAGTGGTAATATGTAGTTGTTATTTTATGATAAATGCGTTTAATAAAAAATCAACTAAAATATCCTTCATGCATTCCTTAAATCCAGGCACTGACGTATGTGAAATATATTAATTAATATTTTAATCAGTCCTGTGTATTTACAAAGGCGTGATTAAGACAACTGAAATCATATTAATAACAAGCTATCAACATTTAGGTACGTGCTTTCTTTATACATTTTGGGTATTTTTAGAACATTTTGCAACACTTAGTTTTTGCTTCAACTCAAAACTATTTACAACAGGTAGATTATTTCCTGGTTATTTTTCTTGTATGACACAAAAATAAAAGTAACAAATAAACCAAAAAAGCGACACAAACTACTAATAACGCAATTTATATATAATACTGATAACAACACTTAGGAAATTTCCCAAAATATCAACTAGTGCTCGAATCACTAATTTACAATTATATTTGATTCTAGCGTAAAATTGTGCCGTGTGTTATCACCAGATTACCGTTTCCATGGTGTAACTGACTTCCGCGTTCTCTTAACAAAACGAAAAAGTGCACAAACAGGGAAGACGTAACAACTAAACAAGTGTGAAATTGTAGAATTTGGAAGTCATCATGATCATGGACACTCGTTACAATTTGACAGAGATCAATTAATTACTAATTGTATGAAAAAATTGATATGGTTAGAGATCTGTTCCGAAAATTTGTTATACAGGGTGTTAGAAATTTAATTGGCTAATAGTAAAAGAAAGGCAGGACCTTAACTACTCACAACCTAATTCGCAACTAGCTCAAGAGTCAACCGTGACACCCTGTATATTTAGGCAACTTGATAACAGATTGCAACAAGGAAAACAATGAGTCTACTTACAAATATCACCACTATATACAATTTAATAAAATTTTGCAAACATCGTTTATATCTCACTCTGATAATGAAATTGAAGGAAAGAGGGGAAATAAAGGTGTGCATCACGACTGTGCAACTAAATCCGTGTCTCATGCCTCCCAGTTTTAGAATTTATGACTAGCAGTATTACGAAAAAACGTAACTATATCTACCATAATTATTGAAAACATCAGTCCAGTTAAAGTCCTTTTTAACTATACGATAACAACCATAATTTTTGATAACAGAACAACAAATCGCGCTTCCTATCTCACTAGTCGTCCCATGTAGGGAATGCCTTAGGATCATTGACAAAAAGATTGGAACCGGTCGTAGGATTCGATCTGTTAATAACTGATCTCGTGTTATTTGTTTCTACGTTGTATTGTTGTTCTACTTGGTACTGATGGGTAGATTGGGCCCATGAAGGCTGATGGTCCCAAACGGTTTTGGGATCCCAGTCGTACGTGGGTTGTTCTTGGCTAAATCAAACCGTTCACTCCCGAATCCCAAAAAAAAACAAAACATACCTGAAAATAGTCTGATCCGTGTTGTTGTATTTGGGCTTTTCGTGGTCGGTCACTGTCAGCTCGATATTTTGGTCACCTTCGCCTTCCTCGAGAATGCTGTTTTTAATCCCGTAGTAGAAATACATAATAAATCCCAAAGTCATCCAAATTGTGAATCTGACTAAAGTTAGGATTGACAATTTGAAAATGAGATAGATGTTAACAGTGATCGCCACGGCAGGAACAAAAGGCAAACCTGGTGTCATGAACATCAAAGTGTTTCTGAAATTGGCCCAATGTTGACAAAAACGACAATCGCTCACATACACATACCTATTTTGTGGCTTCCTCGATATGACTAATAAAACCGCAATAATGGCGAACAAAAAAAGGAAAAGGAAAAATGTTAAAGTCCCTGACATGTTGTGCATACCACAGACCATCATCAAATCGAAAATTATTATTAATAAATACAAAACTCCCACCATTTTCATCACAAACATCCCCGACTCTTCAGTGGCAGGGCCGGTGTCGACCCATGGGAATATTGCTGGGCACAAATAAGTCGCAGCCTTGATGTATTCAAAAATTAGCAAAGTTTTCACTTGCCCAAATTACAGTTACCTGTAATCGGCGACCGATATAGCCCAGGCTCGGTCCCACGGTGGACCCCACGACACCGCCGGTACTGGTCGCACTGCCGGCTCCGTGTAGAGTTCCTGTGAAAAAAATTCATTTTTAGAGGATCTTGTGATTTACTTGAAAAAAAATCAAAAATAATATTTTTAGAGAAATTAGTATTTAGTTAGTGTCAATAATTTTTTCGAATTTTTTAGATTTCGAGTTCTGTTTTTTCCCAAGATTAGTGATGTAGTCATACCGTAGAATTTGTTTTCCGTCCGGTCTGAGACTAGGAACTGGTCGTCTCGCATGGAGAACTCTTCTTCTTGCTCGTCTGCTCCGTAAGTGTCGTCACTGTCTGGTGAACTGAAATTGGGGCAATTCGAGTTTACAAATTCAGAAATTACTTTAAATTTGAAAAGTATGGGAAAATCAGCCAATGCAACCATGAAAAAGTTTCAAAGTAGATGAAGTGATTTTGAAATGACACTTATTTCAAAATGTGGACTTTTTGATTTACCTCCTGGTGACCCTCCTCACCATGACCCTTTGTGTGGTCTGTGTGGGTAAGGGCGAGGGCGACGGTGAAGGAATCGGTGGTCCTAAACTAGCATCAATCGCTTGTTTTAAAGCGTCTGGGTGGAGTTGGTTCCCATACAAGGCTTGTCCGTTCGGATTTTGAGTCAATCCTTCTTTCGTTGGAGATCCTCTCAATGGAGTTCTCAAACTTTGAGGTAACAACTCTACTAGATTTGTCGAGTGGGGTTGATACCTCAATATTAGGACACATGTCGATACTAACGTATAAGCTAAAAGGGTACCTATCGACATCATTTCTACGAGGATTTCTAACCTTATAAAAAGAGCAGCCACACCTGCTGCCAACCCACTAACGAACGTTGCTAAAGCCGGGGTTCCCGTACTCGGCCACACTTGCGAAAAAATTCTGAAAAGCCAGATTTAATCAGCGTCGAGTAAGACAGCCCCATACTTGAAAATTAATCCGTCTTGAGCCATTGCGTAAATAATTCGGGGCATGGGGAACATCGACCCAAACATGCTGACGGTGAGGCCGGCCAGGGCGCCCACCGCCACGATGTATTTACATTTGTAAGCGCCCACTTGGCCGAACATTTCGACCAGAGCCGAATTTTCGTCGACTTCGTTGTAGGGAACTGCAAAAGATTAGTCAAGACAGGGTGACGGCGATGGGATTACCCACTGATTAATGTCAGCATCATGGAACTTGTGACGTAGGCGGTTAGGATGATTCCCAGACTCGTTATTATGGCGAGAGGGATTGATTTTTTCGGATTGGTGGCTTCTTCGCCTGTTGTTGCTATGATATCGAAACCGATGAAGGCGTAGAAGCAAGTCGCTGCTCCCGTAAAGACCTACAACGGGCCGCGAAACCAATGAAATGGAATTATGAAGCTTTGTAGCGGGATGTGACTGAGAAAATTTAACGAAGTTTGGCAAATCCACAAAATCACATTTTTCTTTCACCGACTTTTCGCTTTTGGAAGATAAATAAATGTAGTTTGTGCTCAATATGTCCGGTTTTTTATAAAGAAATGTGCTGACAATCGAATGTTGTTTATTTTTTTTTTAATTTCAAAAATGCAGTAGTTAAAGATAAGAGTTTGTTTCAGAAATAAGATTTTATGTTTGAAACTTGGAATTTTACGAACCTACAAAACCGAAAAAACTTCAAGACTTGGAAAAATATTCGTAAATTTTATGAACACTAAGGTTTATTTCATTCGAGATAAAGCTTCATAAAGCCAGTTGTTTTAAATTTTTTATTGTAATGAGGGATCTTATTATATTTTTGTAAACCTAGCATTTCGTTGTTTTTTTGAAAAAGTGAATGAAAACTATATTTGCGTTACAAAAGCGGATAATGAGCCATTATTTGTATCACATTCTCGATTATGGCCATTATTCACTTACATCTAAAGGTATTTCAAATAAATCGTAAATAATACTTTAGTTATATTTTGAAATTGGCTCTCGTTATTTTGCTACAAGAAGAGGGATAAAGAAAATGTCAAATTTTACAGCGCAATTTATTAGAATTTTGCATTTAATGTTTTTATAATTTTTACGACACACGGATTTAAAGCATCTTTAGAAATTAGGATATTCGGAATTAATTAAAATTTTTATTACCTACCATTCAAATTTGATTACATTTTAAATTTTAGGGGAGCCTCGTTAATATTATAAAAGACTTAATTAAATGCCTCCGTAAATTAATAACAAATTTAAAGGTAATGAAATCTGAAATTTGAAGATTTAGTTGTAACAACTCTCGGTAATAATAGAAAAATCCAATTTGTTTGAAATATGTAACATAATATTATGTCAAAGACGGAATAAGGGGATATTGTACAATCTGCTTCAGAAGTACATATTATTAATAGAGAAATAAAACAGTA